ACTTAAGTGTTAATGTCTAAGAACACAGAAAAGTTCATAGTTTGTTCATACATTTTTTCGTGATTCCCAGAGTTCTGTAAAACATGTTGAACCAGTTGGTCAGTGTGACCGACCCATCAGTGGACTTGAGACGGTTGGAGGAGACAAAGTTTGAGACAGTCTGTTTTGCCAGATATAGCAGAATTGTATTTAAGTCTTTTGGTTTAAATTTCTAGTGAATTACAGCAGGAGAACTGTTGCTGAGAAAGCAGCTTACCTTGAATGACTGGGGAAGAGGATTTGAACCAGTGATCCATTTGATCTTCTTGCGAGGTCTTTTGATAACGAGTGGCTCCCCGGCAATCTCTCCTACTGCCAGGTCAGAGGGATCCATGTTAGGATCAATTGTTTGCATCCCACAGTCTCTGACCGTGGGTGTGCAATCATGGTTGGACTGGGCAAGTGCAGCCAAGAGCTGTCTGACCACATTGTCGTACATAAGGTCACTTTCATTGGTAATGAAGTCTAGTCTGTTGAGTGATTTTATGTGGTCCCGGTTCTCATTGCAGAACATAGCAAGAATGTTAATGTCACAGAACTGTGACTTCTGCCAGCTCTTACGTGTCTTGATGCCGACTTTGTGCAGTTTGTCAAATACAAAGTTGGACTTGCGCACAACAAACAAATGCAGCAAATTGACGAGAATGATCAGGTTCACGCTGCAGAGCAGAGCGATGTCCACCGCCGCCATGATGCGCTGCAGCTGCACAGCTGGCAGCTTACAGTTGACCCTGAGCTTCAGCTCTGGATAGCTGCTGGTGTCCGGTGGCTCACCCAGGGCACAGGTGAACTCGTTCTGTCTCTGACGGGCGTAGTAGGCGCTCAGGTAGGAAATGGGGATTGAACTGAGGCAGATTATGGCTAAATGACGGCCAAGGTACAGCTTAGCCAAAAAGTTACTTTGGCCTCGTCTCTCTAAGTACTTCTCAAATAAGTTCTGCTCCGGACTTTTCTCCTTCTCTGCGTTTTCTATGATCTCTCTCCTCTCCCTCTCAGTTATGCCTGGGCCTTTGGACTGAATCTGCTTCTCAATTTTTGGGGCCCTGCCCTCAGCAGCTCGATGGTAACAGTTGTCAATCTCTTGAAGCAGGAAGTTGAGCTCAGAAGTGAGGCGTGTGGAGGCCAGGAACTCCCAGCCCAACGCCGGAACGTACATGATGCCAGCGAAGGCCAGCAGGGCGTAGGGCAGAAACTTGTGTTCAAACAGTGAAGGCCAGAGTTGAGGTTCCACACCAGAAGCTGCATCACGCAGCTCTGTCCAGCAGTAGCCTCTTGCGTACAGCGCCTGGTCTCTGGTGAAGTTGTGTGGTGTGTAGCAGTATATAGACTCCTCTGGGGAACAAGTGCATATACACAGTATCAGCCCAAGCACATAATCAACTAGCTTATTCATTTTGCGTACAACATTCAAGAACTTCTTGATCCTTGTTGTTATCTAATTATCTAAATGTAACTATTTTCAAATTGTTTGTACTTCAAAGTTAAAGTGAAAGGTTTGATGGAACAATTATGTTGTACCAGTGCACGCAGTTTGGACCATGTTGGACCAAGCTACACTGCAGCACCGTAATTGATAGGAAGTTACATGCTTTGGTGTTGACCAATACATTAGCCATACTATCATGGATGCAGATGACACTAGGGGACCCCCGCCCCCCCACCCCCCACTGTTCCTACCTGAGTGTTTGTGTACTACAGCTAATGGTGCGTTCAAGGTTTACATAAATGTTGGAATTTTCCATTGAACTTAAGCATGGACATACGGTATACAAGAAATCATGAAAGAAAAACAACCAACAGCCATATATAAATAGGAAATGGATACATATAAATAAAACTATAGGGATAGAAATATATGTGTATATAATAAAATGTACACAATGGAACCATTCTGCAACTATAAATAATATATATGCCCATATGTATATATATATATATATATATATATATATGGGCAGTAGCTCGTACCAGCATAAAAATAAATGTAAGTTATAAATGTGCAGCATTGTCAAGTTGCACAAGAATCCCTACAGTGAGTGCTGGTGGTTTTATTTATAGATATATTTGACAGGGCGTTAAAACTCCACTGTGACTGTGCAATCCCCCGAAGTTGTCTAACCACTCCCATCTCTCTGCCTCTGAAGTTATACACTCCAGTCCATCTGCTGTTCTGTAGGGAACCTGACTCAGCAATGAACCCATCCGTTGTCTGCTCTCCAGTTCAACCCCACACTTTTGTCTTCCCACTTCACACACTGTGATAACGTCAAGGGCTGTGGCCTGGGAGGGAGAGGGGGGGGCTGTAAGGAATATGTTAACAATAAGAACGGGGCAACGATACGCACCAGATTGAATGTTTATGTTCATCAGGTGTTTCACACTGGAAGTTGAAATGTCATGAGTAACTTGTACTGGTACAACATATTGTTTTTACAACGAAGCCTTTAGTCATCAAACCTCAGGCATAGAGACAAAATATAAGAAATACGTTTGTGTTTGTGATATTCAAATATAGGACAGCAGCTTGCAGCAGGACAGAACCAGGTAATACTGCATGTACTTTGTACACAATCAACAATCTTGCAGTCAAAATAACACTTATTTATTTTTGTCCTGTACAGTCTTAATAATCCTAAATTTAGTCCAAAGTATTACTGTGGATGAATCATATTTAGTGGTCCAGTAAAAGTTGACGTAATAGTTTTCAGAAATATATCTTTTTATTTAACAGCATATTATAAATATATAAAATGGATGGTCTATAGACTGTTTGTGTTGAGTTGTGTTCGGCCAATTCCCTTTAGTAAAGTCAGAAAAAATGCTGACGGCAGTGACCATAATGTGCTCAAAGTGGCCATTAGAACACACTGAGAGCATGAATGAGTCCTTGGTACTTAGTCATGCGTGCACTAAAGGTCTGATGTTTACATTGACTTTGAGACGACCCTCACTATCTGCTCCTCTGTGGAATGTATATGTCCTCACCTTTAACACCCACTCTCTACAGCAGGAGGCTTTTGTGCTGTTCACTACAGGAGATCAACACTACATGTACTTCACATTATTAAACTACTGTATGTCTTATACAGTACAGAGCAGGTTCTTCGTTTTTGCCGCCATGAGTTGAGCACCCTCTAGTGGCTGAATGTCTCACCTGCAAAGTTCCTGGTAAAGACGAGAGTGACCAGCAGGATGGGGATGATGACAGTGCCTATAGTAACAACGCGATCGAAGGGCAGCTCCAGTTTTAGCTGTACCATGAGGCTGGCCAGCACTCCACCCTTCTCATCCTGGGAGGAGCCTGGCAGGATCAACTCCTTCAGCTTTTCGCCAGCGAGTAGAGCCGTGGCCATGTCTAAGTTTTGTTCGAGGATGTTCTGCATCCGGAACACGAGGGGTGAACACGACACGCCTCTCTAGACTGAAGAGAAGGCCAGACGCTCCCTAGATATCCTCAACGCAGTCTGGTATGCACACACACACACACACACACACTGATGTGTGGTGGATGTCAGTGTTGATTACCATGGGTGAGGGAAAAGGCTGGTCATGTTGTGTGAGGTCCGAGTTCTTCTGTTTGGAGTTTTTGTACCGTCCTCACTGCACCTTCTGTCTAGAAGGATAGTGTGGTGTCTAGCAGCACATCCTTCACTCCGCCTCTTCTCTGTGCATTCTCATATTGTGTCCTGTCTCCAAATGTCTCCACACTGTCCCCAACTCTGTGTGGCAGGATGAGGAATGAGCTGAGTTCAGGACGTGTCCTTGCAACATCCAGGGAAAGTGATTAACTTCTGAAGATTTGTTTTGTGGGAAATCCCATTCTGAAATACAGAGATACAGTTATATACAGCATGATAAAAGTTAAGTGTAATTAAATGTAAAAAATAATAAAAGTTTCCAACACAACTATTAAAGTCACTGATTAAATATGAAGTTATTAAATACATTTCAGTTAGATAAACACATGTAAACCCATTGTATTCTGTCATACGTTCTAATGCCACAGTTCCACGGGACGCTCTTTGACCCATGAAGTATGTGAATGTGAGTACATTATAGTGTAAATTTGCCTTTGATAGAATGACACTGGAGGACAAGTGCAGTCTTTAAGGAGTGAACTTATAATCATGATGGTTTTTATCACCAAGGGAGTGTCTTTACAACCACTGATGTCTGACAGACGAATGTCAAACTGTGTAGATGGGTGAGTGAGTGGGTGAGTGGGTGAGCAGGGTAAAACTGACAAGACACCTGACGATTGGGAGTCGCTGAATACTTGTTTTATGTGAAGGTCATGTACTGACAAACACACACACACAAACACAGGGTAAGAGAGAGAGAGAGAAAGAGAGAGAGAGAGAGAGAGAGAGAGAGAGAGAGTTTTGAGGACGCAGTCCAGACAGCCACATTTTTAACTTTAAATATTAGCATCATGCATTTAACGAGTAGATGAAAAGTTCTCCTGAGACGTCATCTTCGATTGTTATTCCAGCTTCCGGTAATTAAGCTGACCTTGGGCAGGAGGTGACGTTAAACTCCTGAGAACAATCTGTGCCTCGTGGAACTTCATTATATGAAGTCGACGTCCTTATCCACACACAGTGTAATATGTCAGTCGATGAAACTTCGACATGGACCACAGCAGGGACTGAAACCAGCGGGAATGAGTGTCTTCATAAGACAATAAAAGAGCACTATCACGTTTTTCAGTTTCGGACTGTGCTGATGAGTGGGAGCCGCTGGCTCTGCTACAGCAACACTTTATGTCCTCTTTACGGGGAACGAGTTTGTCCCAAAAAGGAAACACTACGTCCTTTGGCCACTACAGGACCCTACAGACTACAGACAGTGGTACAGACAGCACCGACGACATCGTAGTTAGTACGTTATGAACTGCGTGTTGGCCGATGATTGGAAACTTTAAGTGCACATGGCTCGTACACAGTCAGGGACGTTCTGGACCGATGGCTGCAGGCAGGCAGTGAATGCTAATGAATATAGAAGACAGATATACAGATGGCATAAATATTGTCACCGTTTCCTCAGTTTTGAGTTTCACTTAATTCCTGTTTTGAAATTTCGACGACAGACTAGTTATTATAACCGGTTAGCCGCGAAGAAGTCCTGACCGACAACAAAGGAGGACCACTCTTCTGTCAGAGACATTGTTTTGCAGCGAGCCTCGGCTGCAGCAGCTGCCTGCAGATGGCCACCCGCGGATTTCAGCACCCTAGCCGCGGACAGCTCCAGGCGAGAAGCCGCTATTGTGTGTTTGTGAGCGTGAGAGAAGGGAGCTCCTGTGAGATGCTCTGCACTTATCTATCTGTCCCCCTGAAAGCCACAAGTCCTCCCCGACATCGTCGTTTGCGCCGCTAAGACACGGAGACACACGACACTTGTGTTAAATATAGTTGAAATGACTTACCGCGTATCGCTCCATGGCACGGCGCGGTAAGAGTTAATCTGCAGTGCGGGCGAGCAGCTATAGCATGTATCCCAGCACACCACACCGGTTTGTTCCGCTTTCTTTTCCCTCCCTCTCTACCTTCATCCTCCCTCCTGCTCCCCCTCCCCGCCCTGCCTCTCCCAATGAAACAAGGGATGACACAACGCTTGAAGATTCTCCACTCCGTCTTATTGCCTCGCCTTACATCTCCACTATTTCCTACAT